AACCTTCGCCAGATTCACCTTCAGGTTATTCTAGTACACGGTCAACCTCCGTCGGATACGAGAACGGTAGCGGAAATGTCTTGATATGGGAGAGATATGCTAAACAAGTGTAAAAGCCAATCCGATTACTATTTAAGACAAGATTTGTATATTTTAATGAACATTTAATATAAAAAAAAAATTTTTTTTCTTGTATTTTTTTTGACAATAGTAAAGATTTATTTACAAAATAAAAAAAATGGATCGGTCTAGACGTTTGAACAGATTAGTTTGATTACCATTATCTACATAAATGCGACATATTTTTGCGTTCAAATAAAAAAAAGAATCGACAGATTGCATCTTCATAAACCCAACCTTTCGATATTAACAAACATAATGTGAACAAACGGTAATCAAAGCTTCTGCAATTACAAAGACCTGGGGGGAATCAACGAGGGAAAAAGAGAAAATAGTTCGACGTTGTCAAACATTTCGAGAAGGAAACGAAGCCAAAAAAAAATTTTGAATTGATAGTTATCGATAAGATAACACATTATAAATAATAATATAAAAAATTACAATCAAAACTGATGGGTGTGACGATATCACAGGACAGTACCTAGATAAAAGGATACCAATTAGACGATTATATTTAAAGGAGATCATGATGTCATTAAGCACTACATTAGTAATTTTTCGCCACCAATTTGTGTTTTTCCTTTTTGTTTCGGGCTGGACCCTCATCTTCTGTGTAAACATGAATATCATCCACAATGAAGTAACACGCAGAAATTGGGTGGTTATGATCAAGAATTCCTATAGTTTTTACGATGAAATATCAGTTTCTTTTAGTCCTAAATAAATTCCCAAAATATTTCACAATTACGGTAAAATTAAGTTATTTTTTTCACTTGCCAAACGCAAAACGTGAAACATGGAAAAATTACGCAGTTTATTGAGTTGAGTAAAATTATTGTGAATAAAAAAAATACAAATGAAATAATCTTTAAAGTGACCTTTCTTCCATAAATAAATAAATATTATATTATACAAAATGAATTAATAAATAAATTTGCGACAAGAGTCTAGAACAATTTAAGAAATTGGCACCAAACGAGTGGTAAATTTTTAACAATCATGTGGAATTTTCATGAACTTTCTATAAATCAACAAGTTTGTCATACTTTGAGGAGTCCACTCTAATCAGGTTTTTCAGAATTTCCTAAGATCGAAAAAGTGGTAATTGATGCACAACCGTATATATGCTATTTTCCGATTTGCAAGTAAATTTCGATATTTTTGAAATTTTGATATGCAAGTGAAATTTTACAAACAATGCAATTTTTTGTTTATATAAACCAACTTTACCATCAAAAGTGCATAACTCGGTGCCCACCCGTGTGTGTCTGGGGAACTAGTTCCGCCGCAGCAAACTTATCTTTTTTATTCTTAGTATTGTCCTTTAAGAGTAATGATTCAAACAGGATTTTACTGGTAATATAATTTTGGCTAATCTTTGAAAAGATAACAAAATCTGGTTTTTGCGCCAAATAGTAGTCGATGAAATCATAGATATGAAGTTACATGAATAAAATATTCTTTAAATTTTTTTTTTTTGGGAAATACAAAAGATAAACCTGTTTATCCTAGGTAATGGGAAAAACTTTATTGTAGACATTATTGAAAGGTGTAACAAAAAAATTTTTAACTTTTTTTTTGAATTCAAATTATAGATTTGTATTTTTTATTTTTTTCTTCAACGATTACAAATAAGGTTTGGTGTTTGGTTTGATTTGATTATCTTATGTATTGAAAAAAAAAAATTTTTTCACGTGAGTCGTCTAGTGGGAAAAAGATTCCATTGTCTCAATGTGAATAATCAAGATGGCATTTTTGTGATGTGCAAAAAACCAATTCACAAAAAGTGGACTTTTAACATTAGATCTTTACACTGTGCTGTTTTGGGGTAACTTCATTAAAATCATCGATTGATTATAATTATTGAGATTTATCTGATACAAGTATTATAATGTTTGATCGCATGCCACAAATCTTCAAATTTATACTAGTTCAAATTACGTATTTACAAAACCAGCAACGTGCAGCTTAATTGCGTAATCTAGGGACTTCTATTTTAATAAATAACAAATATGACGTTGTCGTAAATTAAAGCGACAATTTGTATTACAAACTTTAAATTTACGTGAGATGAATACATGATGCATTGACATTAACCTAAAAACAAAGCTTATTATATCATATTACTTCCTCCATTGTTCCAACCTTAATCTTTCGCGCGCTCATCATCTGTTTTAACTTGGTACTTTCTATTAATAGAAACTATCTGGGTTTGGGGTGTCCCACATAATTTCGTTAATGCCGGCCAAATTATGATGGTAACTCGAGCCGGAAGTATTTGGGGAAAGTCACTTTGTTCCGGCCGAGGACATCTTGATGCGTAGGTTCGCTTTCTAATCTAGATCGTTCAAAAAAACCTCTTTTTTATAAATAAAAGAGTTCGGTTTTGATGAATATTTTTTTTTCATACCAATTTATATTAACAAAAAGATGCAAGCATATCTTGTTGATTACATATATATATATATATCCAATGCCACGCGAGTAATCGTTGTCAGATTCACAGGAACGCAACGATTTAATTCAATGAAATTCATGAAATTATAATTGGTGATTTGGATGTATGGAATTTATTTATGTATACAAAGTCTTTAAATTCAATTAGAATTGATAAGATCTGTATTGATAAACTCGTATTGATAAACTCGTATTGATAAATTTTATTGATAACGATAGGATAGTGAAGCAATAATATTCATGCAGGTTCTAAAATTTCGTTGTTATATCATAAGATAAGATTTACTTTTTTTGTAACTACGCGTCCACATATAACTTACTTGCATTTCATTCGTTAACTATAATTTACTCATTTTACACAATAAAAAAAAATATAAATATAAATAAATAAAAAATAGCGTTCAACGATGTTGCAATATCATTCGTAAAGAATCATTTTGACGCGTAAACTTACCATGTTCTACTTTACTTGTTCCTCATTCTCCCTATCTGAATTTATGTGTCCATCAGTCTCATCAATTGGAAGAAAGGTATTCCTTTTTCGCAGAACATAGGTAAACTATATGAGAATAGAACAAAAAAGGAATAGAACAAAGAAATTTATTATTCATGCCATAATTTTAACTACCCTTCAATGAATTAAATGATTAACCAAAAAAAACGAATTTAATTATTGGACAAACTAACTGATTTAAGCGCATAAACTTTAAAAAAAGAAAACCAGTTTATTGATAATAATTGGCACTAATATCTGGTCGGGGGAAAAAAAAATTAATGAAATCACATGCGTATTTTAATTGGGGATTTTGATTTTGAAAAAAAGTCTCTTTTATTGAACTAAAATAGTATGGTAAGACGATCATATTACCTCATTACTTGCTAACCATATTATAATTATGCAAGTGCCCATAATTATTCCGTTTTTAATAGGAAATACCCCGAATTCCAACAAACATTCAAATATTTCCCCGAGCTTGTTCTTGTTCCCGTTCCTAGCTCCGTAAATATAACGAACAAGGTTAAATTAAACCATTTGGGTTCGCATTTAAATGATAAAATAATGATTTAATCATAACAATCAAATCACTACCATAAGAAACCATTACTACGTCATTATACTTCATCTAAATAAATAACAAATGAAATGTTTGTATCACAATTCATTGTTAAGAAGCTTTGCGGCGATGCCTTTACTTCGCTTCCATATAACGGCACAATACATTGCGGTAACCCAAGAGCATTTCCAAACGCATATAGTATAAGATCACATCGATGGTAACATGAGACGGGCTCCTTTAATACATGTAAACATTTTATTTTCCCAATCAACCTTATTCTACTATCATATGGGGCTTAAATAAATCATATTGAAATTTAAGGGTCACCTTAGTATGCTAAATACCTATATATGAGCTTTTAAAGAGCCTTTTTTTTTACTTCCAAATATTAATAAAGGTTACCTGGATTTCGCTTAATGCAGAAAAGAAACTTTTTGTTTCATATTTGTCATATTTAGAATCATAACTTTTAAATTTTTCTTCTTGATGTTAAGCGTTTATTTCACGTTGTGACGATTTTATAGAATTTTTTTTCTATTTTTATCAGGAATATTCAATCGAAAATATGCCTGTACATTAATGAATTCACTCTTTTATCACTTATGAATAAAGGATCCAAAGATATAATCTGGCAAGAATTAAAAATGATTACATATCGGAAAAAATTTCAAAAAATTCTAAATTTGAGCAACATTAATTTGGTTGAAACCTGAAAGAGTAAACAATGGACCAAAAAAAATTGGTATTAACTGTATTAACCTATAAAAGGATCAAATTTTCGAAAATTCGATTTACAATTTTAGCTAATCTAATCCTTTTTTTTTTTGTAAAAAAAAAAAAATTAAAATAAAATTAAAATTAAAATTAATCTCTCGTTTCTCTTTAAAAAAAAATAAATAATCAATTAAAAAATAAAAATGGAAGAAAACACCACCATTTGGAATCAATTACTTCAACAAAGTCATAAAAAAAATTTTAGAAGTATTGGTGGGTTTCTTTTGGAAGATATATTTAGTAAAAAAAATTAACCAATACTTAATGCTTATACTTTTTTCTTTTATTATTACCATATTAGTTTATGTGCAAATGACAAATCTTCGAAGGAATGGGGAACCTTCATTACATAACATAAGATTTCATGATTTTGTTAAAAATGATTCAAGATATCTATTATTTTTAATGGCATTTAACGATAATCAATTACATGGTGATGTTAAATCAAATCCTAATGCTCAACTATGCTGGTAGGTTTCATCTCATAATTATTACATACATTCATTTCAAATATGTAGATTATTATTAATTTATATTTTAAAATTTAAATCACAGGCAAATGCAAACGACTAAAGAGATTTATAATTTATCAGGAAGATTTTATATTGTATCATCACCAAAAAAAATAACAAGATTTCCTCCACCAAAATCGGACATGCCGACTCAAGAATCTTGGGAAACTGTTAGAAGACAAGTTTGGTCAGCGTTATCATCCCAAACTCGTGCAACGTTTACGTGGCCTCCATCGGGTGAAATACCAAAAAGCGGAAAAATGGCATTTAAATGTCTTAAATTAGATTCAATGCTTGATGATCATATCGGTTCCAATAATTCCGATAGAGTTGATCATGAAGTTGCATTTGATAATTTTTGTTTATTGACTTTCAAGGTTCATGAAGTTATAAGGTTTGAATATGGAAGTTTTCCTCCAAAAAGAACGGTAAGTATTTTTTTAAAAAAGGTTGTCATTAAAAAGGAATATATCAATTAACATTAATGTTCTTTATTTATAATAGCTTTATAGACTCGATGATGATTGTGAATGGGTGGAAGAAGGAACAAATCCATGAACATCGAACATATTGAGTTCATTTATTAATGGATGCTGCAGATGATAATGAGGAAGGCCTAGCTTTTATTTGGACAATTATCCCATCTTTATCACGTACCGCTTGCATTGATTGAATTTCGGGTGATAAAAGGGTTTTATTCTGTCCGCGAGAGGTTAATTAGATATTAAAAATGGAATTGACGAGACTAATAATAATTTATTCTATAGTTAGTTATATTTACCCATTTAGTTTCATTTTCCAAAATTTTTGTACATTTTTGTATATTTTCTTTTGTGAGAAACCATTTTTCGATTAAAATTTCTTCATTATTGAATTTAAACCTTAAAGAATTCCATTCTACGTTATCAAGTTTCTCAAGCAGAATTACAATATTTGAAGAAGAAATTGAAAAGGTGTTTGATGAAAAGTTGGTAGATGGGTGAAGAATTGTGATCGTGAAATCATTTGAAGAAATTTCTCGAATAATAGTCTGTCAATGAATAAAAATTGTTAATTAAACAATTCAAATAAAATTAAACTTGATCGTTTCAAAAACGTACAGATTCTGAATTAAGTTCAATTTGAAAAGATTTGCTCGCATCATTTGGAAATAAATCGTAAATTATTGTGATATATTTTGATTTTTGATGATAGCTGATATGATCCAAGTGGTTTCGAAGATTAGTCTGCATCTTCCTAAAATGAAATTCAAACGTTTATAATTTTTTAACATATTTAGTTAAAATTCTGATTATCAATAAATAATTTGGTACAAAAGCGCTTTGTCATATATTTGGCTTATGCTTTTTTTTTTTTTTAAAAAAAAAAATGTCTAAAAAACGAACAAAGAAAAGAAACAAAAAACCGAAAACAAAAGATTCTCAATTCAAAATTGCGATAATTACCGGCGCAAATAGGTTAATATTATTTGGTTTATTTTTATCATATAAATATGATTTATATAATATTTTCCCTTTTAGTGGAGTAGGTTATGGAGTCGCACAAAGATTATTGGATCACTCGGCAAAAAATCCTGATGAACAATTCAAAGTTGTCCTTGCTTGCCGAAACCAAATACGAGCAAGTGCTGCACGAAATGATTTATTAAAAGAATTCCCGAAAGGTTTAGTTGAAATTGTTCTTATAGATATAGCTTCAATTGAATCCGTGTTCAAAAGTTGTAAAGAAATTAAAGACAGGTAAGTTTTTTTTTTTTTACCATGAATGAAATTTGCAAATTTTTTTAAAGTAGATTTTAAAATTTTGTTTCAGATATAATCGAGTTGATCTACTTTTTTGCAATGCTGGAATACTACAAGTTTCATATATGGATTGGGGGGGCATGGTTAAACAAATTCTTTTAGATCCAATTGCATTGTATTCAAAAACAGGCATTTTAGTTCAACCTATGGGTAAAATTACTTCGGAAGGTTTAGGTGAAACGTTTGCTTGTAATTTCTTTGGGCATTATGTTATGGTAAATGGAAATTATTATATTTATGCTTACAATTTTGTAATGAAACTAACTTGAGAGTGATTTTTTTAGATTAGAGAGCTCGAAGATTTATTATTCAAAGCGAAAGATCCTCGCGTTATTTGGACAGGTTCCCATATATCTACTAAAGAAAGTCTTAATATGGAAGATTATCAATGCAATAAAGGGTATAGAGAAAAAGAATTCTTTAAACGTATAATTTTTTTAAAAAAAAACAATAGCTGAAAATTTTTTAATTATTTAGAATTTTACCTTACGAATCATCCAAACGAATTATAGATATAATTGGAATTGGACTTAATTCTCGTTTAAATAAACAAAATATCCATAGTTTTACAACTCATCCTGGGATTGTTTCTACAAATATTATACCACTTGGCTGGGTTATGAGTCATTTAAAGGATTTTTTGTTTTACGTGGTAAGATTTTATTCAAAATAATAATTAAATAAAAAACAAAATAATTCACTAATTCGCGAAATCTTATAATATTAACAGATACGAACTTTAGGAATGAGAAATCAAACAATCACCAGTTGGAATGGATCATATGCCAATTATTATGTTGCAACTCAACCAATCGAATCTCTAGTTACTACTCTAAGGTATGGTAGTTATTGTAATCCTCTTGGTAAGGTTTACGTTGATAAAGATATAGTTGAGGGATATGAAGAAGCCGAAGCCAAAGTTTTAATTACCAAGTTAGAAACTTTACTAGACATTTTTCGTGACAAGTACGCGTCAAATAGACCATAAATGATTGGAATAATTTATAATTTAAATTAATGTTTTAATAAAATTTTCTGCAATTTTGTTTAATCTCTAAAAAATGAAATATTTTAATCTCAAAAAGAAATTCCCCATTTGGAAATATAAAATTTTAAATTGTTCGTTTTTCGTTTTTCGAGTTCGGATAACAACCACAAATCCAAACACGTGGCTTGGCTCTACCTATAATTAGTTATCCTAATAATTATGCACATAAACTGACATTCACAAAACTTTAATTTTTCATTTTCAAATCTAAAAAAAAATAAAAAAAAAAAAAAAAAGAGAGAGAGAGACCTACAAACGATATGGTAAGCTGAACTCGAACAGTTTTTAATGGAAGATACATGTGAGAGTAAGGTTCTAAAAAAAAAGAAGAGGATAATGAATTTTGTCGTTTATTTTTTTAGGATAGTCCAATAGAAGCTGAAACTGAAACGAACAATGAGGAAACTTCAAATAATAATAATGGCAACGCTTCTGTTGACGCTTCTGGAGGAAATAATCCTATTGATATAGCGAGCCAAAATGCCGAGTCTATGGATGTTGACGCTTCTTCAGAGTGGGAATCCCGAATTTCACGATCTCGCAGAATGGTTTACTATTATAATCGTAGAACTAAGGAAAGTACTTGGGATCTTCCTGAGGGCGTTGATCCCAATACCATTAGAGGATATGCGAGTCAAAGCAATCAAGATTTACAGAATCTTGACCCGTTGGAAGGTGGAGCAGGTCAAATTAGAGCTAGTCATTTATTGGTCAAACATGACAAGAGCAGGCGTCCTAGTTCTTGGAAAGAGGTTTGTTATTTTTAAAACGATTTTATTCTTATTTTATTGTATAAATTATTGAATTTTTTTTTTTTTAGCCGTCCATAACTAGAACCAAAGACGAGGCATTAGCTTTAATTCAATCCTATCATTCACGTATTACATCTGGAGAGATTTCTCTTGCTGAACTTGCTAACACTGAATCTGATTGTTCAAGTGCCAAGCGTAATGGTGATTTGGGATATTTCGGTAGAGGCCAAATGCAACCATCATTTGAGGAGGCCGCTTTTAAACTTAGAGTTGGTGAATTAAGCGAACCAGTTTGGAGTGATAGTGGCGTTCATTTGATTCTTAGAACAGAATAACGATTCTTCTTGATTCTTCAAATATAATCCGATAAGTGAATGTATTTTCAACATTTTCAAGGTACGAATGTTCAATCGGTTGTATTTTTTTGAGACTTTCCTGAAAAATAAATAATGAATTTCTTTTCCTTTTATTTTATTTTTTTTTTGATCAGAAATAAAATTTTCATTCAGTGTGACCTTTTAGAAAACAAAAAAAAAAGGAACAAGAGAAAAAAAATAAGTTGTAATATTATATTTCAGCTACTTCATGCTCCTATTTTTCAATCATTGTATTTTGTTTGTTTTTTTAAACACTTCTTTAATAAAATTGATTTTTAAATTCATTTACTTTTTGTACTATTATCACGTTCACAAAAATGCGATAAGGATTTGATATGTACAATCGATAGGAGTATTCTGGAAAGAGTACTATAGCAGAATGGGAAAACACGAAGATTATAATATTGGTGCTAAAGTATACCAAGGAGATGAAGAAAATGGTGGTCATTTCGCCCATGTGATTCAAAATTTTTTAAAAAAAAACGACCCAAGCAAGAACAACTTCGTCATTCACTTGTCAACTGGTTTAATTTAATGACACTCAAACTTGTTCAAAGTAAAATGTTTCGGAAATTCCTATATAACCTAGATCCAGGATTTGTAGTACCAGATGTAAAATTAGTAAAACAAATTATTCATCGTGCATATAACCATACACTCCCTCTAATTGTTCAATACGTTGAAAACAATGCAATCTCAGTTAATCTGACTACCGACCTCTGGATTGCTCGAAATCAGCAGGGATATATTGGCATCAAGATGAAACATGAGATTGTCCTACTGTTCGGTATCCGCATACTGCTGATCATATTAGTGATACTTTACTTGAGATTCTAGATCAATGGCTGTTAAGAGAAAAAGTTAATTAGGCCGGAGCGTTAGCGAAGGACTATTTACTTTCTATGCATTGTGTCCGTTTGTCCGCCCGCTTATCATTTGAGACGACGAATATCGGCTATTTATAAATACCGTGGTACATTTTCCTAAAAAAGAAACTGCCCGCAACATAGATTTAATAAATTCTGTTATATTTATTTTTATTAGACGTAATGATATTGACATAATTAATTCACGTGATCTTAAGCTCCGGACTTCACAACGGTGATACCGTTCCCTAGTGTAATCACTACTGATAATGGTTCTAATATGAAGGCGGCAATAAGAGACATGAATTATGTTTCACTTAATATAACCTGACAGCCATGTACTGCTCATACTTTGCAGGAAAGGGACTTGCATATGTTAAAACTGTTTGTATTAAGAGTCAAGCGGTTAATTGATTTTTTCATGAGGCCGAAATAATCAGAAAGACTGGAGAATATCCAAATAAATATTAGAAATCAAGTGATATAATAAGGATTTAAAAGTAATTAATATTGTATTTATTTAAAAAAAAAAAAAATAAAAAACTAAAAAAAAAACAAAAAATTTTTTTTAGAATCCCGGAAAGACAAGTAAATACCTGTGACATTTGCATTGCAGATGTTGCAACTCAATGGAATTCAAGTTTTTTTGGCTTGAAAGAGGTTGTGCCATATATTGACATCCTAGCAACAACACTTTCAATTGCTAATAATGTTGATTTAAAAAGAGATGAATGTTGATTGGCTAAAATTATGTTAACTAAAGTTGAATAGGAGTTGTTGAATGATTTATGTAAAGTTTTGGAAGAATTTGTCAAAGCTACAACCTTACTTAGAAGCCAGTAAATATGTAATGCATAATATTACAAGTTTTTTACTAAAAGAATTTAAAATCAGATAATATAAGATTTCAAGATATAAATGTTGAAGGAATTATAAATATTTTTGAAAAGTAAAAAGAAGAAGAGCTGGTCAAATATATAAATATATCAAAAAGAAAGCTAAATCTAAACAAATTAACAAATTATGTATAATTACTAAAATTTTAAAAAAGTAAACCTTACTTTGTATAAAGCAATGGAGTTGTAAACACTTATTTTGGTATTAATTAATCTTAGAATTAAATTTCTTACATTTATTAATAATGAAAAGGTTTGCAATAAAGTAAAAAAAATTATTGGAAAATAAATACAATCAATTTAAAACTAATTTTTCATTAATAATTATACATCAAATATCTATTAATCTTTTGATAACCTCTTCTTTATTTTCAATCTTTGAATAAAATTTCTTATTACAGAATAATAAAATTATTATTTACTTGTCTTTATCTGAATTAAATATCCTTTTACTTAGTGGTATAATTATATGAAATGGTTTTCAATTCTTTCAAAATTGATTAGAATTTACTTACCTTTTCAAAAATTATTACTATTTCTCTTTTAGAACAATTAATATTTTAATATTTTTCCAGTTTATTGATAGTTCTTGATATGCGAATCTCATATTACCTTTTATTTTCAATAAATAGATAGCTATTATCTTTAAACTTCCTAATAAAAAAGCTGCAAAATCCTTTAGAATACATAATGAACAAATCAAACATCTTGATTTTAATCTTCTCTGATAATTAATATAAATATATTTCATTATTGTTAATATACTATACCTTTAGAATGAAAAATAATTCATATTTACACAATTTTCAAGTTTACAAATTTGAATCGTAATATTATTAAAACTAATCTTATCATATTTTTTAAAACTATTAGAAATGTATTTATAAAAATTATTAATAATAAATTATCTAGTATTATTGCAAAATATTATATTTATAGAGAAAATAACTTTATCAACTTTCTAAAGGCTCTATAAAAGATCTCATTAATACAAAATCTATCAAAATCAAATTGATCTATTAATATTAAAACTAGTTATGTATCATTTAAAGTTACTTAAACTTTGTATCAAAATACTTATTAACTTATTTACTTAAAAAAAATGATATTTTTATAACTAATAAGCTATTATACTACTATAATATTCATATTGATATTAATCAAGAAGAAGTAGTTTCCTCTTAATATTAAATATCTAATTAGATCTCTAACTTGAAATAAAAAGAGGGATTAGATAATATCTTGAAAGTTGCTGATAAATTTCTGATTTCATTATAACTGTTATTAATAAAATACATCATAACTAATTACTAATAATCTGAATTGTCCTAAACCTATTTTTTTAAAATTTAGAAATTATAATACTTCTTATATGAGAAGTCCTATTTGAAGAAATACCACTTGTCTATAGTAAACCTCTAATTAGACGTATAGTATTTATTGCTTGTTAAAGAAAACAATAATTTCTATAATAAAATACGTTATATTAAATGTGAATAAAACCTGCCTATTTAAGTATAACCACAATTTCTTTATATTGACTGAAGCTTAAACTAAATAAAATACTTAATGCTATTGTATCTAAGTCATACTGAATTATTCAGTCTCCATGATGCATATGAGCTTCGCATACAATAACTATTCTAAAAAGGTGTAAGAATTCAGTAAAAAGGTTTCAAAAATATTTCTAGCTAATATCTTATGATTTTTATAAGAAATTTACTTTTAAAATATATATTAATTAATTTTTAGAATAATAATAATATTATTATTATTATATGATTTTTATATAAATATAATATAAAAAAAATAAACCTAATAAGAGGTGATGAATCAAATAAAAAAAAAGTTAAAGATTATTGAATTTTAGAAAGAACTATTTTGATTTTTTGTAAGCATTAACTAAACTATCCCAGTTTTTTATAAAATCTACTTAAATTTATAAAATACTTAGGCAGGAATGATAAAGTATAACATTCTGAAAATATCATATAAATCACAAAATTTTATAATAAATACATAATTTTACATTAATACTGCATAATACAATGAAATCTCTCTAAATGCATCCTTCTTAAATGCACACATTATATATTTTTCTATAAATACACATTTCACTCAGTCTCAAATCTATAAAGGTCATACAAAATTTCTTTCTTTAAATGTATATTCTTTTTAAATGCATATTTTTTTTTTAAAATTTTTATGATCTTTCATATAAATATATACATATATACAATAATATACATTTTCGATATTTCAAACATTTTGAAACTGTTCCATATTATTTCTCATATTAAGTCCTAATGTTCTAGGCCATGTTCCAAAAATGTCTCATGATAACACTGCATATATGTATACATATAAGAAGTTTGTTAGGAAAATGGGATTCTAAGCATTTTTTATTAAAATTTTAATATTTATTGCATTTTAATCTAATATTATCAAAATTAAATTGCAATAAAAATTAAAATTTTAATAAAAAATCTCAAAGTCTCATTTTCTTAGCAAACCTTCTATATATGTACATGATTTCATATAATCCGTAGCATAGATAATTATTTTTTAATAGTTATATCACAAACTAAAACTTTTTTAAATTTGTAATAGATTATATTTAGTAGAGCATAGCTTTTCTTTATATAATATTATTCTAGACATAATTTATCTACTGATTCACTTAAAACAATTAAATATAATGTATTTTAATCAAAAATTTTATTTTTTATTTAATAAAATAATAATAAATAAAAATTATAACAAATCACAAAATGTTATAATAATATAACAAAATCATAATTTTATAAAAATAAGGTCACAACTTAACACAAAATTCATTTTAATTACATACATATATTAGTCAAAATAATCCATTTCATATCTTTTTTAAAATGCTGAATATTGGCTGAAATATAGTTTAATTTCTGCTAATTGTTGCTAAAAAATCAGCATTTTTAGTTATAGCTGAAGTTGTCTATTTTTATGTTACATAAAAACCATTTAAAATTAATGATTGGTAGTTATTTGATATATATATCACTAGGCAAAATAATACAATTCGTCACATTTTAAAGTGCAGAAAATTGACCAAAATATAATCTAATTCTACTGATCATTACCAAAAAATCAGCATTTTGAATAAATAGAAAATCAGCTATCAATCAGTATTTATGTTAAAAATTGGTTAAAATTCAAT